CGCTGAATATGTTGAATACCTATTCATATCTCTAAAGGTATGTTTTTATTGCTTTTGTGGTTTACAAGAATTTGACAAGAAACGCTCTTGGTTGCTCGGTTCCCTTATTTCTTGTTTGATCTGCTCTCTGACATCTAGCTTTTATTAGAGCTACCTGCATGTGTGGTGATACCGAAATATTTTCATTTCCCCTATTGTTCATCAAAAGAAGCGATCGCGCTGGATAACAGATGGATGAGAGTTTACACGTCATTGACGGAAGGGGTCGATATAAGAGCTAACCACAAGCCAGGAATCGTCGAACGAGTGAAGGTCTGATACTATAGGATAAGAGGATGAGGCTGTGCGGTATGAGGTGCACTCCGGAGTGAAAATCGGGCGACTGCGATAACGGCATGTACCTGTAAAGTGCGTTTTGCCTCTCTGTCCACATCCGAAATGGTAAGAGATGTGGATGTGAAGAGCTCGTTTTCGGCGCTTACGGAGCCTTTTCAATGGCGCCTCTGCCCCGGAAACGCCATCAATCGTATCGTTCTATGCATTTCCTTTCGCTCCCATGGATTTATCACGGCCGCTTCCTTCCAGTAAGAATCCCAATATCTGTGAAACTGAAGGCTTTCCGTAAAGCAGCATACTCGAATCTTTAACTATCGTATACTGCATCTCATGGCTTGAGATAGTCCTCCTTCTGCTGCAGCGCACCGCTGACCCTGGATGAGTTTCAGGTTCGAAATGGTGAAACTTCAGACTTGGGACAAAAGTCATGCCATAAGATCCGACACTGGCCGGCGGATCTTGCAGGGAGATCTTTTACGTTACGCGGTTTTTCTTCCTCATTCCAAGGGTTTCGGTATGCTGGTACGGAAGCGCAACACAACAAAATCATCATATCTTCATTTATCAAGGAGAGCGCCAGCGAGACAAGATTGCTTTGAACCCATTCGATGCTCAGTAAGGATAGTCGCGAGCTGTAGTCGCCCACATTGCTTCCAAGTATGCACGCGGCAGGAAGTAAAAAATGATGCTGGAATTAGTGTGATTCATTCTATTCCAGGGTAGATTCCTTTGTCATTCTGATTCTATCCTACCGAAGTTTTTTATTTGAGGTCCCTGTCGCTTCTTTTCAATTATTTGGGGGGGGGACGTGTTTGAAAGTTATGGCGATATCTAGGGTCGCATTGAGCCGAGGGAGTGCCGTATAAAAAATTTCTGCTTGAATGGTTCCTACCGATCCTTTTCAGCGCTCGGACTCGGAACGAAGACTAGCGTTGATGTCACTTTTCGATTACTTCTTCAACCGTTCGCATAAATTTCGTCTTAAAACAGTGGACAAATTACAGGTTTATAGATTTTGGCACTATTCAACTATTACAACCCCAAAATCTCAAAATTTTATTTTTCGTCGAAACTTCCTCTATAGGGGTAATTCGGTGCCCTGATTACGAAAATGACATTCATTTTTGGCGGTGGCGCCAGTTGGCGCCACCTTGTCACGACAGTTGTTTCACACATGTTTCATCACACAATGCCTGATTCACTCATTCCGAGTCTCCCTATCCCCTAAGCTTAGTCCCAAGGCGCTATGTATAGGTGAGAGAGCCCAGAAAAGCGGGAAGTATGCGGTAAACAGCGGTAATGTCAAAAACGAATGTCATATTCGTAATCAGGACATCAAATAACCCCTATACAGAACTTTACACCGAATTTGGTGAAAACATGTGTCGTGACAAGGTGGCGCCAACTGGCGCCAGATGGCGCCACCGCCAAAAATGAATGTCATTTTCGTAATCAGGGCACCGAATTACCCCTATAGAGCGAAGTTTCGACGAAAAATAAAATTTTGAGATTTTGGGGTTGTAATAGTTGAATAGTGCCTTTTAGTTTTCACCAGCCACGACATACTATGAAGGTTAATTCTTTAGGAGTGCTTCGACTGCTTCTGCTTGTGTGCGAAACAGATCCTCTGCATCATCCTCTTCCTGGGCCAAGTACGGAAGCGAGGGAGCTGAAGGTAGGAAAGGAAACGGTCACAGATTTCTGCTATACGTTTTATATTCAGTCTTATGCCATAAAAACTGTCAAAAAGTGGCATGAGAAGTTCGGTCCAGGCTACGACAAGTTGAATTATGTGGGCGATTTTTTACGAGAATCTAAGGTAGCTTGATAACGCTCTTCCATTATTTCTCTTGTATCAGTTCTCGGATGAATCCTGTTAATTTGTTCAGGCTGTAGATTTCGATTCAGCTTCTGCAGAACTTTTGGCTGAAAGGTTGAGAAAAGAAGCAGAAGATCGAAAAAGTGCGGAACTATCGCAAAAAGTGAGAACCCAGCTGTTGGTTAGATTACTATTTCAGATACCCCATGTTCTCGTTGCGGTCTATAATTTCAGTGGTTATACAAACGTTGCGAGGCTCAATTGCGAACGAAACGCTTTGCTTTTGTATAAAATTCGTTGATGTTTTTTCATGTTCATCTTGTAAAGATGGAATTTAGGTTGTTGCTCACGTCCGCCGAAAACTTGACGAAGTAAAGGATGACATTGAACGATGCATTGCTTCTGCTGACACAGCTCTCTCAATCCTAGTGCCCGTGTTTTGTACTGATTTCGAAGAAAATGCGGTCAAAAACTGTGACAATACCTCTGATCCAAGCAGCGTCCAAGAACTTCAAGAAAAACAGGTATGTACACCGTTTGATTGCCGTAGCCCTTTTGAGAGGAGTGCAGTGTTAAGTAGCGCTACTACCTTGATCATTATAAAGAAGCCAGCTCCGCTCATTTCATCACCACCAAAGCGTGAATGACTGGAAGTCGAGGAGGTCATTGTTTGGTTCGTGCCAAGTACATGAACTCCGCTACTTCAGAGAGAATCTGGAGTTCACTCCGATAAAGGCTTAAGTCTCCTTTTAAAATACGCAATATATGAAGCAAAATTCTATTATAATTTATTGGCATAGTTCAGCACTCTTCGCAGACCTTATAGTGGTTATAAATTCTTTCACAGGCTGCTCATGGCTACACAAGCTCTGACACAATCTCTGTTGTTTTGGAATCACTCACCCCAGAGGTTACGATTAATGAGAACAACGAGGCGCTACTGGAAAGCGTACGAGATGCAAAAGTTATGTTAGATGTCTACCGAAATAAGATTCTCAGGTACGATCTAATCTTCTTGAATCTCTTCTAATACCATTGAGTAGTCCAATCACTTCACTCTAGCTGGCAGCGCAAAATAAATGGGGCCGTTGGTGTTGAATTGCTTACGCGAGACTTGACATCATTCAAGCGAAAGATCGATCAACGATGTGCAAAAATTGCTGAGTTAAAGTTGAAACCAAAGAAACGAAAGCAAAGGCACTGATTCTAGCGAAAGTGAAGAAAGCGACCTTGAGGAGGTCCCTGAGAAACAATGTATGGAATCACTTACTTCGTTGGAACAGTTACAGTTTTCACTCGTTTCTTTTTAGTGGAGGATTTTATGCCACCTGATGAAGTTCCGCGACATATTATGGAACGAGTACAGCAGCTGGAAAAGGCTGAATGTTCTGAACAACCATGCTGTAGTAAATCACTGGAAACGAATCCACCATCTCCAAAACAGGTAATAGAAATCACAGGTTTTCTTGACTGTGAATTCTTCCCGATCCTCTAATGATATTTGAACCATCGAAAGTTTGCTTGAAAAAAAGTAAGGTCCTCTCTCACCTTTCGCTTCATTGGTATTTATGTTTAACAAGAAATGCGGATCACGCGACTGCGCGGTGTAAACGCTAGAGAGAAGAAGAAGCTTCAATTGCATTTGTGTGGCCTGGTCTAGTAAAGAAATTGTGATATTGACGAAATCAAACGTAAGGCGAGCATAACCAAGGGATGCTCCGTATTGTTGATGGCAAATATGCGGCACCCCTCGTAAAATTGCACTTCCGAAGTCGATAGTCATTTCTCTCTGAAGGGTTGCGAATCAAAGTGACACGCTGAAACTACATTCTTTTACAGCACTTCAAGAATTCATCTTATTTTTCTACTCACATTTGTACTCCTTTAGGATGAGGTCAAGCCGAATATTCCTGTAGTTTCTTACGGACTCGATCTGAAGTACTGGGGAGAACAGCGTTGTGAAGCCCCTATTCCTCGTAACAATGCAGATTGTCATCGATTTTGGAGAGCTGCAGAAGATGACGATCGGTAAATTTTTCAAAGCGTTGTTATAGTCTGCTCAAGTAACATTGTATC